GGGCACGCGAAACGAGTTCGTTGACCTGTCGCAGGCCTTGCCGTGCTTCGTCCACACAGGCAGTCGGGGAGCAGGCGAGAGGGAAGCTGGCAAGACGGAGTCCCGGTGGAAACGGGTCTCTGGCCCCTGGGGCCCAGGGTGAAGTCGGGCCTGTCCCTCTACAGGAGGAATATTGAAAGATAGCTTTAACAAATAATATGGGGACTATTGCTTTTAGAATTTTGACTATGTTGGAATGTGTTCCCTACCTAGGCTCTGCCTCGAAGGGTTCTTACTCGGTATGCTTAAGGGCCGGGCAGTGCAACTTGCCCCGGGCGGTTCCCCCAGTATCCGCCCCGCGGTTCCCCCAGCAACGTCCCCTTAGCTTAGCGTTGCTTATATCATCTTAGCTTAGCTTCTTTCATCTTAGCTTAGCTTCATCTTAGATCAGGTGTATCTTAGCTTAGCTTACCTTCATCGTAGCTTCGCTGAGCTTTAGCATAGCAGAGCACAGCTAGCAGAACATAGCGTAGCATAGCATAGCATAGCGCAGCATCGCATAACCCCATGCCCAGGATAATAAAGTACCCCCCCCTTAAGTCGTTAGAGTTTTGTATCGCCGACCAATAAGAGTTTGGTCGGGGGCGTGGGGGCGCGGAGGCCGAACTTCATTATCACTGGGAAAGCTCGCCATCGAGGTTACTTCCTTCTCATGTTGAGATAACAACATCAAGCGAAGCGAACACGTTTATTATTTGTGTTGTTTTCTGTTTCTCTCTTTCTCTCTTTTTCTTTGTGTTGCTTTATGTTTCTCTCTCTCTCTCTCTGTCTCTCTCTCTCTCTCTGTCTTTCTTTCTCCTCCTCCCTCTGGAGCCCTGAACTTGTTTATCGCTGGGGTTGATTATCCTGGGGAAATTAAGCACATGAGCTACCCTACACGAGCAGATGAACATGTTAAGTTTCATTAAGCGTTTACAAATTAAATCTAATAAGTTTTCAACTTTGGATGTTTGCTTCTACCTCCTTCTCTGCTTCTCCTGCTCTTCCTCCTTCTCATCCTTCTCCTCGTCCTTTTCTTCTTTCTTTATATTTCTCTTTCTATTTATTGTTCTTCTTGTTTCCCTGGCCCCCTGAACTTGACAAATATTTCGAGGATGTCTCAAGCGAAACAAGCAGTTCGTTGAGGATGTCTCAACCGAGCCAAATCATTGTTGAGGATGCCTCATAGAGGACCAAAGACCAAGGATTCTCAAGATATCTTTGGCTTTTTCCTCTTGATATCTCTTTATGCTGGCTCTGGCGGGCAACTTTTATTACCCCCCGAAAACCCCGAACTTTATTATCCCTTAGGGTTTATTATCCGCAGCAAGGGGTTGTCATAGCATAGCCCAGCATTGCGTAGCATAGCGCAGCATAGCATAGTATAGCATAGCGCAGCACAGCACAGCACAGCACAGCACAGCGCAGCATAGCATAGCATAGCACAGCAGAGCATAGCATAGCGCAGCAAAGCATAGCATAACATAGCGCAGCATAGCATGGCATAGCATAGCATAGCATAACAACTAATGCTGCTTTCCTAGGGGTTCCAACTTCTAGGTAGGATCGCACTGGGGTCATTTGTTTATTATACTTATATATACACATATATGTATGTATCATGTTTCGCCCATCATGCGCCTGTAGGGGGACATGCTCGACCTAAGCCCAGGGAGGGCATTGCGAGAAGCACGGCCAGGGCCGGCTTCCTGCAGGACCACTGTCTCCGAGACGCAGAGGTCCGACTCGTCGCACAAGAGCCGATCGGAGAGAGCGAGCGAGAGGGGAGATCAGCCACGCCAGGAGCTGCGACGCAGAGCAGCGTCGCAGCCATATGGTTGCGTCGCTGCTGCAGCGAAAGTTCGCCGCGCCTGCGAGCGACAGCCGATCAGCGAGCGGCGATCTCAAAGGACGATGGTCCGAGTTGTGATGTTCCCATCGCACATGGGGACCACATCCCAGAAATGATGTCGAGCACCCAGAAAAGTGTCGACACAGTGTCGAACGAGTGTCGCCTCCCAGGGCCCGACACGTGAAAACCCTCCAGTTTCGGTACCTTCTTGGTGCTCGAAGTTCTTTTTGATGATCAAGGCTAAAGTAGGTTGGAACATCATGACGCCCAATAAGGAAGAGCACCAGGACGAGGGCGACGACCAGGCGAGGACGACAAAAGGGGGAGGCAGTGGGGAGGCAAGCTCGTGGCCGGTGCCTCTTCGCACTCATTGTCCCGCTCGGCCCCTCGGGGCCCGAGGGGGAGGGCGACGGGGAAGGGAGGCACCTGAGCGAGCGGACAGCCCACACGGCCGAGCTGGCCCGAGGGTGCTTCGCCGAATCGCGGTGCACCATGCAGCTGAAGCCGAGGCCAACATGGAAGTTTCGGTGGCAACTCGTGAGAGCCTCCCATACCGTCTTGTTGGCTCTTGCGAATCGACGCTGATCTCCGCTAGTCGACGCTCATCGGCGCTGGATCGACGCCAAACGACGCGAAATCGACGCTCATCGACGCCAAATCGACGCTGAATCGGCGCCTTCTCATCGACTACCAGACGCCAGCGCACGCGAATGCAGTTTTCAAAAACTGGGCTGTGAGGAAAAACAGGGCCTCCAAGCTTTGCCACCTACCTCATGCAGTGCGCCTCGAGCACGAGGAAAAGGCCGGCGACGAGAGGAAGGGGGGTCCCGCGAGGCTGCTCTCCACAGCGCCCTTCTTATCTGCCCCGCTCCTCGGGGCTGAGCTGCTCCTGGCGGTGCGTCCGGCTCCCGCCGGTCATCCACCCGAACCTGGCGGGCACTGCGGCGGGAGGGGCAGTCGCCGTCGGCAGCGCGCACAGGGGGGTGGGGGGGAAGGGGGGAAGGCTTCTTAGAAGGCGGCTGCTTCTCAGAAGGCGCTGGCCCCACATCCATGGATGAGGCCCGCGCCTTATAAGGAGCAGCCTCCTTCTGAGAAGCCTCCCCCTCCCCCATACCCCCCTCTGCGCGTGGCCGACGCCTGCTCGAAGTCCGCTTGACTTGAGGGCCAGAAAACGAGGACCATGACCAAGGCTGATGCGGAAACGTCGGTGACGATCTTGGTCAGCAACCATCCTCCCGATCGTCGTCAATATGTGAATCATCCTCACAAGCCGGCGACGGCCAGCATTGATCACGGTCAAGATCGACGTCGCCAAGATCCCCCAGAATCTTGGTCATCGTCATCGTGTTCTTCCCCCGATTGAGGGCGAGGGGCTCGAGGTGCTAGGAGTTCCTTCGGGCAGGGCCTTCGGCCGGCTGGGACTCGTGGAGCGCTTGCCCCCCCGCCACGCAACGCGCGGCGCTCCTCCGCCCTCGCGCCCTCGCGCAGCCCCCATCGGGCGTTGGCTGGCTTGGGTTTAGCGGGACCTGGCTCGGTGGTGTGTACCGGGGGGCGGCTGCCCCCCCCCCCCCCCATTCCACGAATTGGAACTGCCACCACCTGCAGATGCCCCACATGCGGCAGACCTGGTGCAGTGCTTCTTGGGGCTCCGGGCCGCAATCACCAGCCAGCCCCCCACACCTGGGGCCCTCGTCTTGGATGTGACCGGTTACGGTCGTTACCCAAGGGGGGGGGTGGGTCGGGCGGGAGGGTAACAATAACGGCGGCCGCGGCGTGCACCCGCCAGGGTGCGTCCGCGCCACCGGCGCATCAATCGCCTGCGCACCATAGCATGTAGGGGGGGGTCCAGGCCCCCCCCAGGACGATCGTCAATGTTACCAGGAGGGGGGGGAAGGCGATTTGGCCCGGGTAACGAGAATTACCCTGGGGAGGAGAGAAAACGCTCACGATCGGCGCTGGACCCCCCTCCCTGGCGCGCGGAGCGCGCCAAAGGCGGCGCCCGAGGCGCCGCCAGAGGGCTCCAGCGCCAGTCCAAGAAATTCGCGCGCACCTCCGGAAGTCTGGGCTCATGTATTTCTACTGCTCGCCACCTTCCCCCATCGCGCCCTCAAGCGGCCACCATGGGGGGGGCAACGATAAGGGGGGACTGGCACAGGGGGGGGAGACATCGACCTGGAATCGGCGAGATGATAGAGACAAAAAACAGAGGACGGACAGGGTAGGCTTGGTGAAGAGGGACAGATGGGGAAGGGACACGAAGCTGGAGAAGGGGCTTGGGGGCATGGAGGAGGAGCAGCAACAACAGGAACAGGAAGACAAGGCCATAGAGGAGGAAAAGGGGGAGGGAGGAGGAGGAGGAGGAGGAACCAGGCGCCAGTGCCGGTCGACTCCGCCTGCCGACTCTGCCGAGAGGCGTCCAGCTGGATGACGAGCTCCACCATCTTGAGCAGGACGCTTTTCAGCGACGTCGGCCTCGGAGAGGCACAGTCGGAACAGGGTTACAAGAACGAAGATCAATAACAAAAGCCCCCCCACAACGGCACAAGGTCACATGGCGGCACGCCGAACGAAGAGCACTTCAAGATGGAGGCCCGAAGGCAAAGAACGTCAGGGTGCGCCTCCAAAACTAAGGTTGTCCCTCGTGCCAGCTGCACCGTCACCTACCTTGACGCCTGCCGTTCGGCGTCGTGAAGCATGGCGACCAGTGTTGTTGTGGAGATCCTGGGCCCTGGGCGCCTCAGTGACAGGCCCAACTTGGCAGATGACGCACGAGGACGGGGCCTGGAAGCTCTGGTCGCGCCTTGTTCCCGACGTCGTGAACTGAGCGTCCGGAGCCTCATCATATCCCCCCTGCCCCAGAGGTGGCCATGTGCGAATCCGAACTCAGGGTTGCCCACGCTCTGAGCCCGCTGGGAGAGCCCGCTGTGGAAAGCACTTGCAGGGGGACGAAAAATTACATAAACATAAAAACTCGGAGGTCCGCGCGGATTTCTCGGCTCGGCGCTGGACCCCCCTCCCTGGCGCGCGGAGCGCGCCAGGGGCGACGCCGGAGGCGCCGCCAGGGGGGTCCAGCGCCGATCCGAGAAATCCGCGCGGACCTCCGAGTTTTTATGTTTATGTAATTTTTCGTCCCCCTAACTTGGGCCTGAAGGATTCCCTCTGTTCCCTGGGACTGTGCCTCGGCGCCCCGCGGCCTCCCGAGAGGCCAGTCGGCTGGGCCCTCGCTCGGGAGAGCGACCTGCGCTGCGGGACGCGCTGCGCATGCGCTGCGATCGACTGCGAAGGCGGCCACGGACCCGTTCGGCTCCCCCCCGACGCAGGGCCGAACCAAGGGCTCCCAGCTTCACGCTTCGCGCTGCGCGAAGCGCGAAGTGCGAATAACTTCGCGCTCTCGCGCCGCCTCCCAAGGGAGAAGAGGAGGAAGAGGAGGAATCGGAGCCGAACCGCGAAGCGCGAATAACTTCGCGCCCTCGAGGGCGCCCTTGCGAACGTAATCCACCGAAACGGAGCCCCGACCCTCTTGTGGGCCAGCACCAGGAGTCCCTCCGGCGAGGAGTGCGTGTTGCGAGGTCCTCTATGACACCCAGCCGGCGAATGGACACGAACCCAACGCAATGGGGACGGTCCTAGCTGCCCCGACGGTCTTAGCGTATCGACACGGAGCTCCACACGTAGCCTGAAAACGCAAGTCCCGATACGTTGAGCCAACACACAACGTATTGGCACGGACGTTTTGAGAACGGCACGTGTTGCGTATCATAGCGGGCGTGTCGAAGCAGCTATGGAAACGTTGGTTGGAAGAGGTACGGTGTCAGATCTGGGGCGAGCGCACCTAGCTTGCTATGTGTGCCACTCTCTTCTCTTCCCTTACGATGCGCGCGTGTGCTCCCACCTCTGTTGCGAATTGCTTTGCGCAAACAGATTCCATTGTGTGGGCCTTCCTTTGTTCTTGTTTCGATCGATACGTGGTCCTTCAAAAGAAGGTGCTCCCGCGGCAGCGTTGGCCACATTTGAGGATCGGTATTTTTCTCGTCGTGCAGATAGGCGCGCGCGCCCAAATGCGGGCCACTCTTCTGAATCCGATTCGTTCCTCGTCGTCGCTGCTCTCCGTCTTCCGCTGATACTCCAGCTCCTGCTCCCGATGCCGCTCCACCTCTTTTACTTCCAGATCCTCCTGCTCATCCTCCTCCGCCTCCTGCTCATCCGCCTGCTCCTCCTGCTGTTGCTGGTGCTGCTCCTCCTCCAACTTACGAAAGCCCACCTTGTCGATTGGGAAGCGCACGATTTGTCAAATCCTGCAACTGCCACTTGGGCACCTTCGGCATCTGCGACACTCCAATCGACGGGCAAAACAAACCAACGCTGTGGGATGGACCTGTGTGGTGGAAAGAGAAACGTCAGATGTGGCGCCAGCGCACCTAGCCTCCTTACCCCTCTCTCCCCCTTGGGAACACCCAAAGGTACTGATACCGCTACTCCCCAGACCCATCGCCCTAACCCAGGGTGTGTTCTGACAAGCATTTCGAGGCCAATCCAGAGGTGGCGACGAGGACCTCCCAGGAGGCCCAACAAGGCGAAAACGAGGGAAGGCTAGCGATACAGTACCTTTTAACCCTGCGCCCGCGATAAGAACCTCCTGGGGACAGTAAAGTTCGGGGTCCAGGTGGGATAATCAGCGTTTTCCCAGAGATCTCGACATAATGAGGAAATCAATCGGAATCCTTAGGGATCCTTGCTACTCGACATAAGAAGAGAGCAACTTCGACTCGCAACTTTCCCCCGCGATAGAAAAGTTCGGCCTTGCCGCCCCTCTTCCCTGACCAAATCTGCATTGGCCCGGGATAGTAAACTGTCAGTCGTGAAGGGGAGGGATAAGGAGGCGTCTGGGAGGTCTGAGCTGAATAGACATCGAGAGGGGGGGATAAAGGGTAAATCCGCTCAAAATCGGTCCCCAGACCCCTCCCAGGGTCCATCTGGTGCAATGTTTCACCCTGGATCTGCTGTAACGGGCCGGGGGCCCGAAGACGGCACTCGGAGGCGGAACACTGACAAAACAGAGTCTCGTGCCCAGAACCTCGAACCTCGCCCCCCCCCCCCCCGCCCCCCTCCTGCTCGCTGGAGCCAGTGCTGGGCCACCTCAGACCCCCAACTGGCTCCAAGGACAGACGAGGTCTCCCGCAGATGCAGCTCCTGTTGAGCAGGGGCGGACCGTCCTGACATTCCTGTAGGCCTAAGGCGGCCTACCGCAAAATCTCCTCAGAACCCAAATAGGAAGCTGGGCGAGGGCTGCTAAAACCGTGGCTGCTAAAACGGCCCTCCCGGAATGAAAAAACAACTTCCCGGAATGAGGCGCGGCACGCGAAGCAGTCAACGGACTTCTTCCCGGAAGGACGAAGACAACTTCCCGGAGGTCGATTTTAGCAGCCACGGATTTAGCAGCCTTCGCCCGGCTTCCGACCAAAGACGTTTTAAGAACAATATCGGTGCTCTGCGAACATAACTCCGCCCGATGTGTTATTAAAGCAAGACGGTCTCAGCCAGCCATAACATTTTTCCCAGACGTCCGGCTGCTTCAATGTTGTTCGATGAGTACCTCCAGAGGTCCGGGCCACTTCCCTAGGGCCGGTTTTCGTCCGGGTTCGTTTTTTGACGCTTGCGAGGCCTGGCGAGGGCCCCCAGGAGGCCGAAACCAGCCAACAAGAGCGCCCGCTCCAATGATTGCTGGAGCGCCGAACCTCTGGGTTTGGTGGGCCCATATAGGCAAGCCAGGACGTGTCGCCACTGCTTGAGCCTTGACCTCCCCCCCTGGCCGAGCCCGACCTTCGGGGGTGCACAGACATGGATTAGCGATCCATGGATTTGGCGCGCGGTCGCCAAATCCATGGATCCGGGGAGGCGCCCTCCCCAACATGCGGCCGGTGCCGCCTCGCCCGGCGGCGGGAATCCGCGATGGCCCATGGAAACGGGACCCGTCGCTGATCCACGCCCCCCGGATCGATGTCTGCGATCGCCGGAAGGATGCCGTGGTGCGTGCGCGCCCTCTTCGAGGCCTCCGGCCGAGCCCCCTTAAGAACGGCAGGGGGGCCTCTCCGAGGCTCCCCGGCGGTAGGCTCGCCCCTCCCCCGCTCCACGAAGCAGGGCGGGATCGGCGGCCTTTCGAGGTCGGCGGAGAGGGGGGGAGAGGGAAGGGGAGAGAGGGAGGGAGAGGGGGGGGGAGGGAAGAGGGGGAGGAGGAGGAAGAGGAGGACGAGGAGGAGGAGGAGGAGGAGAAGGAGGAGGAGGAGGAGGAGGAGCGAATGCAGCGGCCGGCCGAGCCCAGCCGCGGCCGGCCGAGCCCGACCTCCCCCTCGCGGCCGGCCGAGGCGGCCGCGTCGCCACCACCACGGCGCGGCTCTGCACGGCCGCCTCCAGCCTGGGGCTCTGCGGGGCGGCGGCAGGGCGCCGAGGGGGAGGGGTCACGAGCAGCGGCGCCCTCGCGGTCTGGACTCGCGGCGGCCTGGTCTCTCCCTTGCCCTCCTCCTCCTCCTCCTCCTCCTCCTCCTCCTCCTCCTCCTCCTCCTCCTCCTCTCCTCCTCCTCCTCCTCCTCCTCCTCCTCCTCCTCCTCCTCTCCTCCTCCTCCTCCTCCTCCTCCTCCTCCTCCTCCCTCCTCCCTCCTCCCCCTCCTCCTCCTCCTCCCTCCTCCTCCTCCTCCTCCTCTCCTCCTCCTCCTCCTCCTCCTCCTCCTCCTCCTCCTCCTCCTCGCGGTCGCACGGAGACGTTGCGCGGGGCATTCCGCGGGACAAACACGCCCCGCAGCCACGGCGTCGCGGGCCAGGGACCCGTTGCCCGCGAGGCCGCGGAGGCGGGCATGGCTCCCGCTCCGCGCGAGGAGGAAGTGGCGGCCAGGAGCGTGGCGCGATTGGAGGGGGGGCTCTTAAGAAGGCGGGCGGAGGGCTCCTCGGACGACCGCATGAGGAACGAGGGGGCTGTTCTGGCCAAGGCGAGCCTCGGCCAAGAATGGCTCCCCGACCTGGATCGAAGGAACAGCCCAGAAAGCAGAGCCCCCTCCTGAGGTCAAAGCGTCCGTTGGTTCAGCATCTTGACTGCATGGCCATCAGATCGTGGGTCAAGAACGCGAGACCCTTCGCAATGGCCGAGGGGGCCATGAAGAGTGGGTCAAGATCGCGAACCCCTTCGCCAAGGCCCAGCGGCCCATGGAGATGCACAAAACGAAGGACCTTGCACGGTGTAGAGCCCAGAGGCGACGAAGAGCGTGAGGTTACCCCTCCAGGGCTGGGGTTGCTCTCAACCGTCGTGCCAGCTGCACGCGCAGAGGGCCGACGTCGCGGGGACGTCGGCGTTGGCTTCTGACACCGCGTGCGGCATTGAGTCTTGAGCGGTCGCGTCTCTTCGACGCTGGAGACCATGCGATACAGCCATCGTGCCAGCAGCGAAGGAACGCCGAATGACGAGCGAAAGGGCTTTCCTGGGGAAACCAGAAGGCACCAATACCCTACTCCCCTGGCCTCTCCCGGAGTGCGTTCTGACCAGAACTCCGAGGCGAATCCTGCGGTGGCGAGGAGGGCCTCCCAGGAGGCCGAGGAGGGGGAACACGAGGCAAGGGCAGGAGTGCGTTCTGACCAGAATTCCGAGGCGAATCCTGCGGTGGCGACGAGGGCCTCCCAGGAGGCCGAGGAGGGGGAACACGAGGCATGGGTGCCTTTCCCTGCTCTGATGGTCCAGCCGCGGCGAGCCTCGTCGGGGACGCACCAGCCTGGGTCCGCACACCCCCCGGGTATGCCAGGGCTCCCCGCGCGAAGCCCGGCCGGGCCCGCTCAGTATAGCGTTAGGTCGGGCCTGTCCCCCTGACAGGGGGATTTTGGGCGAAAAACGGACAATAGTCAAAACATACGCCAAACATATTCAACCATAGTCACAACATCGCCCCCAGACTATGTTTTACTATTCCCCCTGTAGAGGGACAGGCCCGACTTAAGTATAGCTCCCGGACGAGGGCCAGCGGAAGGCGGACAGGAGGGGCCATCGGCCCCACGTGGCTGGTGGGACCGCCTGCTCCCCGTTGGCGCTGACACCGGCGACGGCAGGGGCCCGATTGCAGGAAAGCATTCCAGCAGAAGCCCTACCCCGAGGCCCCAGGAGCTCCATTGATTCTAGCTGGTGTGGGAACGTCACGCTCTCCACTCTGGAGAGCGCGACGTTCCCACACCACAAACACGCTATTAGGGGGTCGAAGGGGCTTGCTATGAGCAAGCCCCTCGACGTCCAAGACACCCAGGGCACCCTGGAGGCACGCAGGGTGCTTCTTGGCACGGGCCTCCACAGCAACCTGGGCCGGCCAGGGCCCTGCCGCGAAGCCCGGCCGGCCGCTCAGCGGCTCCCAACACACACAGGCCAACGGAGGGCGGCGAGTGGGGCACTGGTGGCCTCGGCTGCTCCCCGTTGGCGCTGGCCCCCGCTGCGCGAGACCCGGACGAGGCATGCAACGGCTTTTCCGGCCGCGGCGAGCCTCGGCCAGGAAGCGGCGCCCCGGCCTGCGCGGTCCGGAGAGCAGGGCCCTCTCCTGGCCGGAGCTCGCAGCGGCCCCTGTGTGTTGTTTTGTGTTTGTTGAATGTCTTAACGTTTTTTTCCCAACCATCCTGTGGTGTTGGGTCCTCGTTTTGAAGAGACAGCGCCCCGCGTCCCACCTCCTCTCCTCCTCCTCCCCCTCGTCCCATCATCATCATCATCATCATCATCATCATCATCATCATCATCATCGTCACATTCATCATCGTCATTGTCATCGTCGTCATCGTCATCGTCATCAACCACTTCGGCACACCCCTCACACGTTTCGTGGCCCCATAGGGAGCTCCACCGAAGGCCCGAGGGCTGCCGCCCGCATGCGTCCCCTACACCCATTTCGGCACACCCCTCACACGTTTCGTGGCCCCATAGGGAGCTCCACCGAAGGCCCCATGGCTGCCGTCCGCATGCGTCCCGCACACCCATTTCGGCACACCCCTCACACGTTTCGTGGCCCCATAGGGAGCTCCACCGAAGGCCCCATGGCTGCCGTCCGCATGCGTCCCGCACACCCATTTCGGCACACCCCTCACACGTTTCGTGGCCCCATAGGGAGCTCCACCGAAGGCCCCATGGCTGCCGTCCGCATGCGTCCCGCACACCCATTTCGGCACACCCCTCACACGTTTCGTGGCCCCATAGGGAGCTCCACCGAAGGCCCCATAGCATGCGTCCCGCACACCGGCACACCCCTCACACGTTTCGTGGCCCCACACGTACAGGGAGCTCCACCGAAGGCCCCAGTGCTGCCGTCCGCATGCGTCCCGCACACCCATTTCGGCACACCCCTCACACGTTTCGTGGCCCCACAGGGAGCTCCACCGAAGGCCCCATGGCTGCCGTCCGCATGCGTCCCGCACACCCATTTCGGCACACCCCTCACACGTTTCGTGGCCCCATAGGGAGCTCCACCGAAGGCCCCAGTGCTGCCGTCCGCATGCGTCGGCACACCCCTCACACGTTTCGTGGCCCCATGGGAGCTCCACCGAAGGCCCCATGGCTGCCGTCCGCATGCGTCCCGCACACCCATTTCGGCACACCCCTCACACGTTTCGTGGCCCCACAGGGAGCTCCACCGAAGGCCCCAGTGCTGCCGTCCGCATGCGTCCCGCACACCCATTTCGGCACACCCCTCACACGTTTCGTGGCCCCATAGGGAGCTCCACCGAAGGCCCCATGGCTGCCGTCCGCATGCGTCCCGCACACCCATTTCGGCACACCCCTCACACGTTTCGTGGCCCCACAGGGAGCTCCACCGAAGGCCCCATGGCTGCCGTCCGCATGCGTCCCGCACACCCATTTCGGCACACCCCTCACACGTTTCGTGGCCCCACAGGGAGCTCCACCGAAGGCCCCAGTGCTGCCGTCCGCATGCGTCCCGCACACCCATTTCGGCACACCCCTCACACGTTTCGTGGCCCCATAGGGAGCTCCACCGAAGGCCCCATGGCTGCCGTCCGCATGCGTCCCGCACACCCATTTCGGCACACCCCTCACACGTTTCGTGGCCCCATAGGGAGCTCCACCGAAGGCCCCATGGCTGCCGTCCGCATGCGTCCCGCACACCCATTTCGGCACACCCCTCACACGTTTCGTGGCCCCAGGGAGCTCCACCGAAGGCCCCAGTGCTGCCCGCAGGCATGCGTCCCGCACTCCACCGAAGGCATTGCGTCCCGCACACCCACGGCACACCCCTCACACGTTTCGTGGCCCCACAGGGAGCTCCACCGAAGGCCCCATGCTGCCGTCCGCATGCGTCCCGCACACCCATTTCGGCACACCCCTCACACGTTTCGTGGCCCCACAGGGAGCTCCACCGAAGGCCCCAGTGCTGCCGTCCGCATGCGTCCCGCACACCAGGTGTGTGGCGTGCCGACATGGGCGTCGCGGCGCGCGGGCGCTGCCGTCGGGGTTCCCAGGGAAGCCCCCTGCAGAGGCGACGCTCAGAGTCACGAGTACCGAGAGTCACGCAGACCCAAACTGTTCACAGTCGTATACATACATTTACACTGGGCGTATCCATGCACGCATTCATGCGAATAGAATCAATCGCGCGCAGATTCATTCATAATCAGACTCGCTCGCGATCCGACTCGCACGCGCTCAAGCTTTCATATTCGGACCTATCGTCTTCGTTCGTGTTGTGTACACTGCCACGCATTTCGGCACACCCCTCATACGGCTCGTGGCCCCATAGGGAGCGCCACCGAAGAAGATATTCACAATTGCGGTACTCTCAACTGCATATGGTTGGGTCCTTCGCCAGGCTAATTGTTTTTTTGTTGTGTTTTTCCCCCCACGGAGCTCGCAGCGGCCCCTATGGTGCAGCCTCTGGGCCACCCGTACGTACGCGCAGAGGGGGCGCACGTCGGGGGCCCACGTCGGCGTCGGCTTCCGACCCCGCGTGGCGATCCGTTCCAAGCCCGGAGCAGCCACTGAGAGCCCTCTGTGCCTCGCCCGATGTCGGCCGCCTTCCTGGGCCGCCGGCGGCGCTCCACCCAGCGAGCGTCCGCACCAGGGGCCGCGCCGAGACGGGAAGGCCCGCGCGGGGGGGTCGCCGCCGCGGCGGCGCGGCGCGAAGCCGGGGGTTCGCCACCGTGCCCCTGGGCAAAAGGAGTGGGCGCCGTCGGGCCCAGGACGACCCCCGAGACGGGGCCAGAGGGCTCCAGGGGGCCTTCGAGGAGAGCCCGAGAGGGCCCTGGGTCGCCGAAGGATCGCTCCAAAACGCCCCAGGTGGCCCCGAGACGGCCCAGGAGGCCTCCAAGACGCCCCAAGAGGCGTCCAAGAGGCCTCCCAAGAGGGCCCCAGGTGGCAAGCATGATTGATTCCCCTTCGGTTTATGAAGGATTTGGCGGTGTCGCCTGTTCGGCGATCCGACTCTCCAACACGGTCAAGAGGCCCACAAGACCACGCCAGAATGGCCCCAAAGGCCTCCAAGAGGGCCCCAAGGCGGCCCAAGAGCGCCCAAAGACGGCCCAAGAGGCGCGCAAAACGGCCCAAGCGGGCCCCAAGACGGCCCCCAAAGGGGCCATAAAGAGGGAACATGAACCGAACATCCAAGCTTTCTGCCCAAAGAGGCCCCCTGGAGTCCCCAAGAGGCGCCCATGAAGCCCCAAGAGGCCCCCAAGAGGCCGCAAGAGAACCCCAAGATGCCCCAAAGTGGCCTCCAAACTGCCTCCAAGGGGCCCCCGAGAGGCCTCCCACGAGATTCCAACGAACATCCAATAGGCTTCACACCCACGACCCAGGTACCGTGGCGGGAGGGGCCGAAGGCCATTAGACATGAGATGAGGGAGGGGATGAGGCTCGGGGGGGAAGAAGGGATGGGGCCCAACCAGAAGGGCCGACGCTGCGACATTGCTTGCACCGATCTCTCCTTCTCCCCCTGCGTCTCCTCCTCAGCAAGGCTCGAGGCTGCGCAGGGACAGTCTTCAGGGGCACGGCCCAGCCCTGGCTGCCCTCGGGAGCCCACGAGGTGGCCCGTGGCGGTGTCGACACCCCACGCCCGTGGAGCGCCCTGGAGGGCTGGGCCGCTGGAGGGGCCACGGCGTCGAGACGGCCTCGGGCTGCCTTGGGGTTCATCCGAGGGCAGGTGGGGCCACATCGAGGGGCCGTCTGTGCAGTGCACCCTGTTCTTTGCTCCGGCTGGCTCCCCTTCCTCCCCGTGGCTGCACGCACAGCGGGGATCTGTGGGGGAGGGGGGGGGCGGCTCCTCCGAAGGCAGAGATGAGGCTCGCGCCCTCCAAGAAGCAGGGGTGCCTCCAAGAAGCCGCCCCCCCTCCCCCTGCCCCTCTCGCCTGCGCGTGGCCCAGCCTCGAGTGCGCTCGCGGGGCACCGCGGCCGGAGCAGCTCAGGCAGGCGCTGCGCCTGGGCCGTCGGCGGGGGGCGCCGGCGCCGGCGCGCTGGCGGGCTGGGGCGCCGCTGCCGGGGGCGCGCCGCCGCCCAGCCGGGCGAGGCGCGCGGCCCGCATCGCGGCGGCGTCGCTGGCCGGCGCGGACGGCGCGCCCCCGAGGGCCGTCCCGGCGCTCTCGCGCCAGTCCCCCGCGGCGTTCTTCCAGTGCCGGAAGGCCTCCAGCACGTCCGCCTCGGACTTGGCGTTGCCCACGTGGCCCCTGGCCTCGTCCCCGGTCACCACGCACTCGCCCTTGGCGTTCACGACCACGAGGTGCGGTATGCCGCGGACCTGGTAGTGCTTCGCGACCTGCTGGATCTCGGGGGAGCCGAAGGCCACGGCGAGCCACGGGCCGTGGTCGTTCTTGAAGTATTCGGTAAAAGACGCGGGGTCCTTGTCGCTGGAGAAGAAGACGATCTCGATGTTTTCGCCCCTGGCTTTCAGGGTCTCGTAGAACTTGCGGAGCACAGGCGTGAAGCCACGGCAAGGCGGGCACCAGTGCGCAGAGAAGTAGAAAGCAACTGTCTTGCCCTTGAGATCACTTGCGTAGGCAGGTGTGCCGTCTTGCCTCACCATGGGGAACGACGCGATGTCCATGGTCTCCTCGACTGCAAAAGGAAAACCTGCACCCGAACCAAACTCGAGACAGCGTGGCTTCTTGCGCCAAAGCGGCTATGAAAAGAACACCTCCGAAGATGTGGTCCACATCACATGCGCTCGGCGCCAAGGAGCCTGTACCGGGCCTGGGAGCATACCAGGGTCGAGCGGTCGTGGATGGCCCTCCCCCTCCTCCACTCTCGCCCGCCTTCACCTCGAAACAGCCCCTCTGGATCCTCGACCGCATCGAACTGAAGACCTAACCAAGATTTTTTCCATTCTGATCGCAGGTGTTTTCAGCGTGCACCTTCCTCTCCTTGGAAAAGGACGGCTGCGCGCACGCAGAGCTAAACAGCATGCTCTGGTCCGCATGAAAGCGGGGCCAGCAATTCACGAGCTCGGTTTGACTCAGAAAGGGCCGTTGCGGTGCGAATCCGCTTCGCCAAATGGCATAATACCACATGCGATCGGTGCAGCTACTTGCCACTGGTGCGGCACATTGAGCCCGCGAGAGCAGTGTTGCTTGAGCAGGATGGAGCTGGACGGCTGCTTGATGAAGAACATCGGCGAATCCTTAGGCCGTGCGCCAAAGGGTGTTTGCAATTTCCTTTCCTGAGTAGCAGGATGGTGCTATGGCATTTCGGTCGCGTGCGCAGGTTGACAGAACCAGATCTCACAGGTCCAGGGGATAGAGCTGAACTAGAGTGAATCAGATCGCCCCAGGGGTCTTGATGAGCCTCGCAGGCAGCAAATTCTGTGCCTTCAACATCACAGTGGTGATGGTGTCGATGCTGGTTGCGCCAAGCAGAGTGAGTTGGCAGCCCCAGCCTGGCGAGCCCACCATGGCCATATCAGCAGAGGGGGAGTTGGATGTACCCGACGAAGTTCACTCATCTGAGACACCAGGGATCAATGAAGTGCGCGATCTGCCGGGGGACCTCGCCGTTCGAACATGATGGCTTTCAAGCCTTCTGCTTCAGACCCTCAATTCCTGATATCCTGAGCACCCGTGTCTAGGCTTTGGGCTTTGGCATCGAGCTGAAAGACCTGCATGGGCCAGAGGGGGGCGGCTGTGCCGCGCTGCACTATTTGCGAGCGCAACAACCGCACGATTGCCAGTTGTCAAGGGACCGATCGCAATATGCAACATACAATGTCAAAGTGCTGTCCTGGAATCGCAGCTCTTTAAATGACTGCCGCGTCGCGGAATCCCTCAATATCTGATCCTCCGCCCCCTCCTCCAAACACCGGAAGGAGGTGACTACCTGGCTACCTACCAGACCACCCCAACCCAACCCAAAGACCTAAATGTCGGGTTGGGTGGGCGGTACGGATTCCACGTGTGTTTATTCAATGTTCCCCGACGCCCCCCCACCCCCACTGGGATTGGAGATCAAATCGGGGCCTTCGGGTTGGGTTAGGGTGTGTTTTGGTGGGTCGTGGGGTGAGGAGGGAGGAATAAGGATGGGGGGAGGAGGAGTAGGAGAGAGGAGGGGGGGGAGAGGAGGAGGACGAGGAGGAGGAGGAGGAGGAGGAGGAGGAGAAGGAGGAAGAGCAGGAGGAGGATGCAGGAGGAGGAGAGGAGGAGGAGGAGGAGGAGGAGGAGGAGAAGGAGGAGGAGGAGGAGAGGGAGGAGGAGGATTGGGGAGGAGGATTGGGAGAAAAAGGATTGGGAGCAGGAGGAGAAGGAGGAGGAGGAGGAAGAGGAGGAGGAGGAGGCGGAGGATTGGGAGGAGGAGTAGAAGGGTGTACGAGGAGGAGGAGGAGGAGGAGGAGGAAAAAGAGGTGGAGGACGAGGGTGAAGAGGAGGGGGAGGAAGAGGCGGAGGAAGAGGGGGAGGAGTAGGAGGAGAAGGAGGAAGCGGAAAAGGAGGATGCAAGAGGAGGAGTAGGAGGATGTAGGAGGATGTAGGAGGACGAGGAGGATTGGGAGGAGGAGGATTGGGTGGAGGGGAAAGGAAAAGGAGGAGGAGGACGAGGAGGAGGAGGACGAGGATGAGGAGGAGGGTGTGCTCCGAGGGCAGGGACGAGGCCGGCGCTTCGCACTCCGGTTCCTGCGACGACTCCTGCACGGAGTGGCCTCCCCCCACCAGCCCCCGAGAAGCGAGCGGCGCCCCGCCGCTTGAGGGGCGGGCAGGAGGGGGAGGGGCCTCGTAGAGGTCAAAAAATCCACCCCGAGAAGATCCACCCCGACACGAGAGGTCGTTGAGCGAGCGCGCCCAAAGAAGGAATCGAACAGGGCAGGCCTGTTCAGTAAACGCCCAGGGCCGCTCAATAAACGCCAATTGTCCGGTCCGGGTGGTTTTCCTCCCTTGACCTCAGGAGCAGAAGGGCGGGGGGGGGAGGGGCGCAAGCAGGAGGAGCAGAAGAGGACTGCCTCTTCAAAAGGGGCCCAAGGGCACACACGTGTATCCATATATATATATACAAATGCAGATCTCTCTATATATAAAAATATGTCTAGAGAGAGGGATATCGGCGCAAATCCCGGGCTTCCCGATCTCTTTCCATATCTTCTCGGTGCTTGTCTTCCCCTCCCCACTTCCAAGATTTTCCGATCTTTTCGTGGGAATCGAGGTTCATGTGTGTGCGTCTGTGTCTCTCTCCCCCCCTGATTCTTTGAGGGAGGAGATGCGCGATGATGGCGATGAGGAGGTCTCGCCGCGCCAGCAGGGACGAGCAGGGCCTCAACAGATCGTGCTGCTGCGATGGCAGGTGCTCCGACGACGGGGGCCCTGCGCTGAAGGCCAACTCGCGGTCCTCCTCCTCGCGTTCCGGAACGTGCTCCTCTTGCTCGTTCTTCCCGCGCCCCGTCTCCGCAGGCGGCGGATGCAGAGCCGTTCGGGCCCATGCGCCGGGCCAGTCGAGATCCAGTCGCTGGGCATGCACTGTCGGGATGCTGGGGGCTTTGCACGGCGACGCAACCAAACACGACCCCCACCCCCTCCCACGACAGAAGCCCACCCGTGTCTGGGGCTCTACACACAACCGAGGCCCGTGGGCAGCTATCGGCACATCGTCATCACAAGCCTTAACTGACCAGCTTGGAGTCTTGATGTGTACCCTATGCCTGATACCCCTAGATCAAATTTCATATACCCTATACGCGTGTGTATGGTTGTATGGGGTACGGTTGCACGGTGTACGGTGCATGTCGCATGTAATTGCTAAACAATTGTCCAGACGAAGGGGTAGAGCATGCAGACCTACAAGCGTGGATTACATTGCCATTTTCTCGGGATGGACGTCGAACTGCTGGTTGCGGCGTTCCTCCACCAAATTGTTAGGTATGAGCTGGCAGTCTTCACGGGCATCCTGGACACGGTCTGGTGGGTGATTGGGTGGATCGCCTACCGAGCCTTCAGGTGGATAACAATAGTCAGGGAAGAGTCTTATCAGTTCAACACGCACGACGTGTGGGTCAAGCTCGTGTTAAAGGCATGCGACTGCATCGGGGCGGCTGCCATGTACTCCGACACCAGTCGGCATCACTCTTGGTTGGGTTTCGACGTGGCAGGCGTTTCAACCAACTTTGCAAGTACGGCGCGTGCGTCTGGCAGCGCGCTCGAGGGGGCGACCCGTGCGAAACCTTGGCGAGGAAGCGGAGGCCCACCACAATACCTTTGACTATGATATTGGTATTCTGGGCACAGCTGTCACAATACCCCTGATGTGATTCGTGCTGCACCACCCCATGTTCAGGTACAGGCGATGTCGACGGGTGCTGCACCTGCGGGCACCGTCAACACGAGCCAGGCTGCTGGTCTAGAGGCGCCACCACCAGTCATGAAATATGATGGCCCAGACACTTCTATGTTCCCAGGGAGCCTGACACGAAGGTCGGCTTCAGGTAGTGACGATGATCTCGGCCAGCAGGGAGATTGAGCGTCAAGTGTTGTCGGATCAGTTTGGCAGCGGTGCCTGTATACGTCAGGCGTTCTGACGATATCCTGGGTTGCGTGGAGGAGTTTGTGTAGGCGAAATTCTCGCGGCGCTGGGGGGCTTGATCAAGCATCACTCCACAGCTGGCACCCCACCACCACCAGCAAGAGAGGGAGGCCCGCCAAGGTTCCAGGAAACCGAAGCGGAAGACCAAGAGGACGTAGGCGGGTAAGCCCAAAAACGAGGAAATCACCGCCGAACTTACACAGGTACTTCAGGTCGGGACGAAACGGAAACGTGCTTGACCTACTGAGAAGTTTCTGAATGCCGTCTCGGACGTGGTGACGGCAGCCGTTGCCAAGGAGAACGACAGCGCCTCGGCATCATCTCCAGTCTCAGCTACGGCCACGAGGACGGGTACAGGTACGAGTACGCAACAAGACAAGCAGCCGCAACAGCCACCACAGCAGCAGCGGAGTCCAGATGACAATACGGACGATAGGAGACGCCAGCTAAACTACCACGGCTGGCAGGCTACAGCAGAGGGCAGGTGATCGGAGACAACGGGCTACGACATCTGCTACCTGAGGGAAAGACGGACCGCATCAACGAAGCCGTGCTGGTGGTTGCCAACGTCGACGACGTCGTGCGGCTGAGGGACTTGGCGAGTTCGTTGGGGGTACCAATCGTATTATTGGCAGTGTTACCCGAAGTAGCTGTGCTGACTCACAGTAGAAGTGGCTCCGTCACGACAGCTAGGAGAAGACACCACCTTTGGAATACTTGTTCGGAGCGCCTTTTATCCGGGGATGGACAGAACCCCCTTTAGCAAAACGTTGTTTAGTGAACACGACCTCGGGCCCAAACCTGGCGGGCGCAAGCCTGGAAAATAACGGCCGCGGCACCCTCTCGAGAACCGACCACGGACATTCCACTGATCGACGCGTCAGGGTGGGAGGCCTGTCTACCCCCGATGTATGCTCGCAGGCGCCCACTATACTTAAGTCAGGCGTGTCCCCCTCCAGGTGGATTTTCGACGAGAAATTACACATACGTACACCAACAATAATTCCAAACAAATCCAAAAATAATATGGGGGAGTATCTTTGGAATATTTATTGACCTTTTTGGAATGTGTTTGGGTATCTTTTTATTGTTCCTCGAAAATCCCCCTGTATGGGGGACAGGCCCGAC